TGTTTGTTGTTTTGGGGGCTTTTTCTACACAATTTCACATGGTTTCCATTCCAGACAAGCAAATCTATTGGTAAGGCTGCCCAAAACTTGATTCGTGGTTTGTGCATCAAATAAGTGATATGAAATAACAAAGTCATAGGCTGTAAAAATCTTTCCTGCCCTCTTCAACTCAATTAATTTAAAATCAGTTATATTGAACAGGAGAGGGAAAAAGCCATCTCCAAAACACTACAGCCCAGTGATGCAGCCACACACTTCATAACAGAAATGTCTAACTTCAATCCCAAACCCCGAATAAAGCCTTGGGGTTAGGAATGCAGCTTTCTGGCATCTCAGATGAATGCCCTAAAACAAGTCATCTTTGCCTGTACCATTTATTATTCTTTTGGGAATCTATTCCCTTTACTTCCAATTGAAATTCAAGAAAATGGGATTACTGACTCAGCTTAAACAAAAGCATTCAACTTGCCTAAAAATCAAATTACTGATATCCTTTAAAATGCCAAGAAATTTGCATTTCAGAATGACCTAAACTTTTCTTTACTTCCTTAGGCAAAAAAATATTTATTATTTGCAGTACTACCACTGTGAGTTTAGAATGTACTTTCAAATCTTCTGGTGCCAGGTATCACACACTGAGAAGTCACATATTCAGTCATATACACCTACACTACTTCTGAAATTAAATTTTTACCTGAAATATCAGATTTTTTCCTTGCAGATACTACCTGCTTCTGTGTGTTTAACTTTTATTGACTCTCCTATGAATATATATATTCATCATGTATTCTGTATTTCAGGAGCTTAAAGGATGTTGCTTGCAGCTGGAGCAGGGTTTATCCAAAATTCTCCATGGATATTGTTTTATCATAAACAACTTTGTAATTTGGATACCAGATTCCCAGAAACCTGTTTCCTCCCAGTACCAAGAAAAACATAATGGGATGCTGGATTAATTTGGGCTGGGATTTTTTTTTTTCCCTTACACTACGGTAAGTGTGTGTGGCATGCATAACAAAATGATGGAGTGACATCCCTGTGTTGGATTTGAACGATCTGTTTAGCACAGACTTCAAGGATGACCTTTGACATCAAAGCACCCATCACAGCAATACCAGAAATGGCTGGATGTGACACTTCCTGCCCCAGTTTAGTTGACAAGGTGGTGTTTGGCCAAAGGTTGGACTTGATCTTGGAGGTTTTTCCAGCCTTAATAATTCTATGCTAAGAGTATTAGGCACAGACTGAGGCTGCAGGTACATGGATAAACTCTGGCAACTTTGTGCTGCAGCCTTGCTCACTGGGGAGGAATTTCCTCACCATTTCTGCAGGGCAAGAGCCCTTCCTGAGACTACTCACATGCTGCAGGGTGAAGGGGATTCAACAGCTTACTCCTGTGTGCACACCCTGAAAAGCTTCCAGGATCAAATTCCCTGTGCTGTGTCAGATTTCCTCTGTCATGCTATGCAAGTCATCTCTTCTGGCCTGTGCTTTCGATCCCCAGTGGTAAAATGCTTGTGACAATGATCAGAATGGTCATAGCCATTGGCTATTTGGCTGAAGGTGGCCAAATAGGTATCTGAGCATCTAGAAAGAACTCAACTTCATGTTGCTGATATGAGCAAAGGCAACAAATTAGAAGTACATGCCAGAAGGTCAGAAAGCAGAGCCAACTGGCAAGTCTTAGAAACCTTCACAGAGTGGCCATAAAGGACCAGACCTTATCTGGCAAGAAAAAGCAGAGGGGAAATCCTTCATTAGGGTCTAGGAGAAAAACAGACAGACCAAAAAAACCCTAGAAAGCTTCCAAGACATTTCTTTTTATATTTTAGTTATGCCTAAAGTGTGAGAACAATCTCTCAAGGTTTGGATTGGTTTTGCTTTTATATCCAGTAAACAAGCAAGCCCATAGAATAAAATCAATGTTGTTTGTCAGTCTGGACAGGACATAAGCACTTCTCCACAGGATGAGCTATTGTAGGAACCATGTCAGTGGCAGTGACTCAGCACCTCAGCCTGTCTGAAGGGCAGTGTGTCCACAACTTTGGGAAAAGTTTCTTGCCCCCGAGGGTGGTGGGACACTGAACAGGCTCCCCAGGGAAATCATCACAGCTCCAAGGTTGCCAGAGCTCAAGGAGCATTTAGACAACATGGTGGGATTGTTGGGGTGTCCTGTGCAGGGCCAGAACTTGCTAATCCTTGTGGGTCCCTTTCAACTCAGGATATTCTATGAACTCCAAAACCTACTGTAGAGGATTTTTTTTTTTTTTTTTTTTGGGGGTGGGGTTAAGAACTAACACCTAAAGCCTTCAAAGCTCAATCCCACCAGTCTTAATTTACCAGGTTATCAGATTTTGTTCTCATCATTCAGAGCTCCAGGATCTCAACAGCTGAGCATCCAAAGTTTACACAGAAAGAGTGTGTGTTATTCTCTCATCAGTTCTCCATTTCCACACTAAAACAGTGAGGACTCATAAGAGCATCATGACAACAGCACATTTGAATAGGTTATAGAACAGGAGTATAAATATATCAAGAGGGAAAAAAAGCAATTATCATGTTTATTAAGTTTTAAACACCCTTCTGTTCATGACTCCTTTATTTACTTGCTGTAAGTGGTAATATCCACTCACAGAGCAGGTGCTTTGTTTCTTCTTTCCACACCACCCTAAAAGCAATCCAGATATAATCAATGAACTTCTGTATCATACTCCACTTTCTTAAGGGAAAAATCAGACTAACTCTGTTTTATTAAACCACAATAATTTCTTTCCCTAAATACAGAAAAATCATATTTTCATTTGTTTCCACTGCATGTTATTCTGAAGCTCAAAGATCTTAACGCATCTCTTATCAATATAAATCCATCCCAGAAATCTGATTTATTAGAACTGAGGCCCCAGTCTGATAAATTCCAGGTTTTAACAGGAAGCAATGGACACACCAACAGGACAGTTCAGTCTGCTGGCAAGCTTAAGGTAACCCTTCACCTTCAGATTACTAAATCCTTACACCAACCTCACATCCCAGGATAAGCTGACCTTCAGGAGATCTAATCAGCCTGAAAGAAGAATAACTAAAAACTTGAGTGAAAAGAAAAGGGTAAAATACTTCACAGACTTCCAAGAGGCCGCCTACTTTTTCTGTTTAAAGAATATTACTTCTCCCAGCTGTTTGTGTTGCCCCACCACCTGGAAGCTAGATTCAACAGTATATTAAAAAACCTACCCAAAAAAAAATGATCTGAATTATTCTGTAACTGATTTACTTGGAGCAAGCTAAGAAATGCTCTAGTGAACCAGCAGAGCTGCCAAGGAGAAAAACAGTGTGTGGGTGTTGTGACGTTCCTCACTGATACAACAAATTCAAGCATAATTCAGTCTAATTCCTCCTAAATTACTTCAAATGAAAGATCTTTTGTAGCACTGGAAAAACTGGCAGAATTGCTGACACACAGTTCTATTCTTCAGGCTAAAATCACAGATCTGTGTATCCACACAGGTGGATAAACACAAGGAAATCCCTGACTTCCGTAAGAAACACAGAGAATGCATTTTCTCTGTCACCTCTATTATTTTACAGCTCCTCCAAGCAGAGACCCTGTCAAGAATTTCATTATATTCCAAAATCTGTGGCTGTGAATGAACTGGTTTTTTTTTTAAGAGGGAAGATACAGCCTCCAGCATGTAAAACAAATACAGCATGAAACACATATAAACATGAGCAGCAGAGGGGCCTTTTCTACATTTGAACAATCCAAAGCATTACAGTCTCCTTTTTTTTGCTGCTGTTTTTTCCAAGAGCCTTACTACTATTTACTGTCTCAAGAAAAAGCCATAAACTTCATATCTCATCTCATTCAGACATCAAGGGATCCAAGCCCTGGCAAGCAGTTCTGTGACCAGAGTTTGTTTCTTATTATTTACATTTCTGAAGGACAGATTAATCATTTTAATATACCATGAGATCTCTTTTTTTTCCTGTACACTGAAGCTATTATGTATCCTGTGTGCCAGTAGGACACATATCTGGAGCACTTCTAGGCTTCTTTCCAAGCTGCTTTGCCTGCCTTTCTATCTTCTAGTATCATTTAGTTTTAATACACACTTCGTATTATCAATCTAATATATTAATGTATTAACTAACTTCAAACCTCTCCTCTTCAGGCAACTGCTCAGAATTAAAAGACACTCATAAATCCCACAAATCAAGACCAATCCTTCAAAGTCTCATTCAGGGCTTTTCAGAAATTCTGAGTCTTCACACAAAGATGTGCTGAGCAGCAAAAGCAGTCTTGCCTCCCATTCTCATTAGGAACTGGCATGATATAAGGTGCACACCCAATCCAACAGCCCTTACAGACAGGGAATGCCATTAAAAGGTAATCCCTTTATGGAACAGCACCCATGCCAAACCTGCAAGCAGCAGGAATTTAATCTTCTGCTGTTGCAACAGTATCAATTCTTACTACCTCTGGGCTAATTCATGAAAATTCAGAAGTTCAGTCAATGGGTGTTTGACACAGCTTTTTTGCTGGGTCTTCTTCTAGCCAGTCTACCCACATAAATTAACCTGTAGCTTTATTTTTGCATTTGAAAGTTTTCAGGTTTCTAAACATGCTACATTCAGATGCCTGGGCTTTCCTCAGGAATGAGATGTGACAGTCGTTTCCTTTCAGGAGAAAGGAAGATGAAAGGACTTAGCTTTTCAGCACACCAAGTTGAGGTACCTGACAGGTTCTGCAGAAACATTTTGCTGGATCAGCAACATCTTTGCTGAATCACCCAGCAGGAAAAGTGCGCAAGAGCATCCATTAAAATACAATCAGTTAGTGGTAACCTTACCTTCCTGAGTTCTGAAGTCATCCTCAAGGAATTTATTAAAATTGCCACACAACCCACAGGTCTTATTATAGTGCTTTTCTTGAAGGAGTATCTGAATGTTTCCACTGGCATCAATCTTCACCACAAAGCCATGCTCATCACTGGATATTTTATAATAACCTGCCTCCTTCTCTATAAATATACCATTGGAGGCAAAAGGTATGGAAACGCTGTGGAGAAAAAAACCCAGGAAATTCTCAGCATGTGACTCACGGAACCCATCAGGTTGTTTTCTCCTAGAATTATAGTTCCTACAGGTACCTTTTGTCTTCCTGCATCACAACTCCATCTAAAGAGACACGAAGACTGAAATATTCTCCAAGATACACAGAGAAACCAATTCTGTCCCCATCCTGGTAATCACCTAAGGAGATGAGACACAACAAATACTTTTAGTTCTGAGACCGAGGAGAACAATTTGTAGTCAGTAAAAACTTATTTTAAACTATGACCAACAAAGAACAGTTATTAGTGAATATAAAAACATCTGCCAAAGCAGTTGGTATGAATGTCACAGTTTCAGTACAGATATCATCACTTCTATGCCCAAGAATAACTCTGCAGAGGCCTATGCTAATTCCAAGGCCTTCTGTCCCAGAAGGTGGGATTTATCTTACTGGTATGGTTTAGAATACAGATAAAATTAGTTCTAAAGGGTTGTATAGTTCTTATTCCTGGATTCAGCTTTAATTTGGCAACATCTCCGAATGAAGATGAATTGAAAAATTCAAAATTAGTAAAGGTCTTCCCCTTTTTAGTTGGAGTAGTATGAAAATCCCTGTTTCTCAGCAGCTTATTTATGTGTGACCTGCATTACCAAGGGATAACAGAAGCCCCAAAAGTAATCCCACTTTCCAAAACAAGCCCAAAAAACCCTAATGCAACCCACAAACAGATGAAAAAAAACCCAGCCAAGACCTCTTTTTATGCAGTGGTCCATCCTATCTGACAAAGGGGAACCATTTATCTTTTTTTCCAGTGATGGAACCCAGCTCAGACTCACCTAAGAGCGTGAAGGAGTGCTTGTGGCAGTCTCCAGCAAGGAGGTAGCTGCAGTCCCCAGCAAAACTGTACAAGGAACCATCAAATGTTCTGATGTGATCATTCCCAAAAAGGCTGCAACGGGCAACGGATGACTCCTGAACTGAAGCACCTGATAACCCTGGGTATCAAAACACAACATGAACTTGCAATTTAAAGCAATAATTTTGCAGTTCAGGAACTTCTCTGCTGGAATTTATGCCCACTGAGATCCTGGTAGCTTCTAGGCAGACTGTAAGCCTGGCATGGCAGTCTATAGGATCACAGCTTTTTTATTATTATTAAGATGCATTACTGAAATGCCTTTTTTTTACTTTCTTTCCTCCAGCCCAAACCTTTCATGGGTAATTTAAATCCTGATCCTTTGAGGAATGCCATGTGCTCATCTATACCTGCCTGCAACCCCCCTGAAGCCTATAGGGCACTAGGAAAGCTCCGTATTTTATTCAAACATCCCTGACTTCAGGGAGTGTTTGGGACTCAAAACAGTGCCTGTTTCAAGGTAAATAGACAAAAGGAATTACTTTTTTGATGCCTTCAGCATGGTGAGGACAATCCCTGAGTCGGTACAAAAAGGGGAAGGAGGGTTCATATCTCACCAAAAAATAGTGAAATTATATTCTAGTCCAAACCTGTTTTCTTACCTGTGATTACAGTGGCCAGCAGTAGGTTTGTTTGCAGCACTGTCAAGAGGAGCATCTGTTGAAAAGCAAAAAGAGACAGTTTAGAATACTCTTAGTTTGAGAAAGTCTGTTTCAGAACTCCTCATCATCTTCTATCCTTTCTTTATAAAGAAAATTATTACTGAGGTTCTGCAACATTTCAGAAGGCCATAATCCATGCAGACAGTTGAGGTAATTCAGTTGCACTCCATCCTGCTTTAACTAGGTAATCAAGGAGAGTTATTAATTATTCTTTTCCCCAATTTTCACTTCTCATGGCAGGGAAATGCAAGCCAACACAGACACATATTACAGTTCGCCTCAGTTAACACTCTGCACACAAAGCCCTTTAGCACACAGCATTATTTCTCAGCCAGCCTGATGTAGAGAAGCACCCCAGACTGGCTCAGCCAAGCTGGCTTCAGTAGAAGTCATCTCTGCAGCACAAGATTTCCACCCAAACATACACAAAGGGAAAGAAAAAATAGACAGGTTTTGCACCAGCCAGAAGGTTTGCTTGGCAGACCATTGTAGCCACATAATCCACTGATTTCAGAGTGATAACATGCTTGAGATAAGAAACTAGAAGGAAAGGGAGGAAATCACAGAGATTAGAGATCCAGGGTGAAAATTTTCATTCAACAAAACCAGTGTTAGCATTGCCTCCTCCTTTCCACAACCAGAATGTCAGTCTTTGTTTTCCATATGTCTATAAACTACCTCCAGGATGGCCTTAAAAAGTAATAATTAATAACAGGATAGTAGGGTCATGCAGATGGTGAACTACATGGGTTCTGTGGCCAAACATCAACAGTTAAGTGTGAAGGCTGTAGGGAGATCCATCTAAGGGAATTAATTTCAGTGATCATATAAGCAACTAGAGAGAATTAAATATACCAAAGTTAACATATTATATATCTTCCAAAAGACCAGACACACCTTTTCTCCAATTAAAGACTAGAATGCATTTTGCAAAGACAAATTGAGATTTCAGGTATAGACACACACTTCTTATTGCTCTTAATTATGTAGGTCCAACTCACAGCCACATAAATAAACACTGAGTTTGACTTATTTACACAAGACAGGAAAAGAAAGATCTGTTCTATAACTCAGTCAAATATAATGCTGCAAATCCCAAACTGGCATAAGGCTGCAAGATAGCTCAAAAGTGGCAACTGCATGGGAATGACACTACAAAGAATGGTGAAGAAAACAGTAGGCATTTATTATTTTCAGATAACATACTTTGTAATCATATACTTGTAATCAATACTACTGTATTTTTGTTGCATGCACAGTGTTACAGTGATGAACCACATACTGCTGTTCTTTAACCCTTTTGGTTTACAAAGCAGGCAGTGCAAAAAGGCAAGGTGTAAATCCCTTCCCTTCCACCTCCCACTTGTTCTGAACTGCAGATGGAGTTTCCCCCCAGTTCTAATGGAGCAGGTGCCACTAACAAATCAGAATACAATCCAGTAAGATCTGCCAGTACAAAACCCTCTACCATTTTATCACTGGCTTAATTAAAAATGAATGTACCTTTTTCTGTGCGAGACTCCTTTTGCACATGAGCAAGAAACTCCTCCAGTTTCCACCTACAGTATCATTGTTCCCCTGGTGCCTCAAAAGTCAAGACTGCAATGGCTTTGGTCTGAAATCTCTTGTTTTTGTACAAGCCAGGAACTCTTGTCCATTTAAGAGGAAAGATAAAAATGCAGACGTCACATCCGCCTGATTCTCAAGACAATAGATTAAATTGCTATCGTGGAAATCAGGCACTCTTAATTGCCAGGAAGGTACAATGAGGGGAAATAGTTTTAAAAACTGACAGATAAAGTCTTTGAAATACATTTCACATGTGTATGTGTGTCAAATCTCACTGACTGAGCCAACAGGCAGCTTATTTATTTGACAGAAAGTTATTCAAAAGGAATAGTAGGATGCTCCACACCACAAAGGCCACAGAATCATTAAGCCTTTTTTCTTAAACAACTGCCTTAAAGGAGAAAGAAAAATTCCAAGCTAGTAATGCCCTGGTTTTATTCTCTAGGTGCAAATATACTTGAATTTTGCCACCTTCTATCAGGGCAACGCATTTGATCCTTGAAATGTTCCTCTGGAACAGCACATGGTAACGAGTTAATCCTGCACTGACTTGTTTGCAGAGTGGGCACCAAATTCATGGGCACATGAGCAAAAACACACAAAAACCAGAGTCTGTCAAGTCTTACTTGACTTCCCATGTCCCATTCCTCATATTTTCAATAACTACTATCATGAACAAAGGCCTTAGGAGGCAACACATTGCACTGACTGGGAATTGTTCTCTCCTCTTGGATCCAGCTGCCACATCTCAGCAGGTCCTTCCTAGCCCCTGAGAGCCTGAACATGAGTGATCCCAGAAAGACATTCCCTAAACCTTTCCTTATGGGAATGCCAGCACTACTCAGGATAGGGAGAATTAGATCTATCACCATGGTCTCTTGTCATCTTCTCAGTTCTAATCCTTTCACTTCCTGAACCCCAGATAAGTCACTTCATTTGGCAATGCACTCTTGGAAATCTAATCCAGCAGGGCTTTGATTCACTCTTTTTTGTTTGGCACATAAGGAATGTTGAGTGAGAATACCTAGAAAAATTCCTTAAAAATAAAAACAATGCAGATTCAGATAAACCAGGCGTTATGACACTTCTTTAGTGTGTTAGCAACCTTGGGGAACGTAGACAAAATTAACTGAGATAAACATATAAAGAACAAACTTTCTTTTTTCACCCTGGCTCTTTTCATTCCTCCCAAAAAATGAGGAAATGGTAACTAAAGAGTGCATTTATTGATTAATATTGTACATTGCTCCTATACAAAACTTAGTGATGGTTGAGCATTCCTGACATGTAGTTTTCCAAATAGTACACCTGAGACATGGGAGAAAATATATAAGCAACCATGAAGTGTTGCCAAAAAAGCATCTATAGTCCATTCTTGGAAACAGCACAGGAAGGACTTCTGAGAAAAATTATCCATAATTTTTCATTGCTTTGTTCAAATACCAGGTTGCATGCAACAAGTCCTGGCCCTGCTACAAGTATGTTTGAGTTGAAGGACTCTATCCTGGACAAAGTCTGTTTGCATGAGAATCACTTAATTTAATTAATTAAATCACCTAATAACTGCACTTTAATTTAATCAGTGCAGTGCTAACTGCACTGATTGATTGTATGGAATCTAAAAAAAAAAACCTGTTCCTGGCATCTGGAGTAAACAGAAACCCCAAACGCCACATCCTTAGATACCACACAAAAAAATCAAGTGAAGGAGGGTGCACTCTGTAGGAAAGGACAGAAAGGGAAAAGATAAAATTATGATCAAAGGTAGGAAGCAACTTCTCTGTGAGCAGAGGGAATTTCCAGCCTTGGAAAAATCAGAGAAATTATAAAAGGTCCTTGAGCATCCTATCACAAGTAGTACAAAGAAGATAGGGAATCAGTGCTCCTCCTCTTCTCCCAGGGTAAAGGCTGGGAGCAAGGAATGAAGTCCTCAGGGGGTTGGTTGCCTTTAAAACACATAACTGGAAGGTCTCAGCACAGGGCATTGTGTCAAAAATGAGTCAGATTAATGAAGGGCCCCTGCATCACAGGGATTATGTGATAAAACAGAGACAGCTTTTGTTTTAGAAAGCCTTTACCCTGCTGTGTATTAGAAACCCCATCCATTAATGTTACACTTTATTTCTTACTTGTCTTTTCCTTTGCAATTGCTGCTTGCCACCAGAACACTACTTTTTGGTCAAAAAAAGCCCAAAAAAACAAACCAACAAAAAACACCCAAATAAAATAAAATAAACTAGACAGCTTGCTTTATCCTATCCCAGTCTGCAAGAAGATATGTTTCAGTGTTTTTCCACAAGTGAGATTCAAATTAACTTTCCCACTATAGATCCAACAGTGAAACAAAGCAATAGGACCAGGAAAGAGGGAGGAAAAAAGAAAAAAAAAAAAAAAAAGAACAGGAAATGAGCGAAAGGTCTAGTTCCTATGAATTGCAGGGGCTTTAGTGCATTTTGGGGTCATCAGTGCTCAGCTCCTTTATCTGGCATAAGTTAACAGTTCATGGTTTAAAGAAAGAAACCCCTAGAGAAGATGGGAGGAGCTAACGACCCTCACTTTACATTTGAAAGCTCTCCCGACATCTTTCCACAGGTTGGGAAGGTCACAAGGCAAAGCAAACCCTTGAACACTCTCCTTCCCGACTGGGCAAGGATGGGTATTATCGGAGATAATCCTTTTTGCCAATTTAACTCCTTCCCTGGTGGCAAACTGACGGGATTTCCAATTTCGCAGCCCTTCCTGGGGTTATGATTGGAGCCACAAGGACCTCAGGCTGCGGCGGGTGAGGCGAGGCTCTCGGGTGCCACTCTTCAGGCTCCTAACCTGCCAGGTAGCATCCCGACCTGGTGCTTATGAGCCAAGCTGCATCCTGCACGCCCTGAAATCTGCCGCATCATATCAAAGCAAAATATCCCTCTTCCATATCCAGGGAATAAGGATACTAGAGTTGCACAACACCATTTTCAGCTGGTGCCAGCTAGTACCGCTCGGCTGAAGTCAGTGGCACTCCTCTACTCTGCGCCGGCTGAAGAGCCAAAAGCCTCACAAAATCGCATTACGTTACAAAGAGCCACCAGAAATCAAACAGAAGGGCAGGGGGGAGATAATTTTTCGCCTGCTCTGTGGGCAGTTTCTCCCTTACATGAGTGAGGTATCACCTCGCCGAGACACGCCCGACTTGTCCGCGCCAAGCACTCGGCATTCCCGGGAAGGGCGTGTGCTCCCGGGGCAGAGCCGCACAGCCCGGGAGGGCAGCGCCCACTTTCAGCCTCCTCCTGGAAGAGCTTGGGAGCAGGCGGTCCCTGCTCTCTCTCTTTTGCTCTTTCACGTCTTGCACCTCCACCCTGGGCTGAAATTCCTGCATACAGAGAGCCAGCCAAGGCCAGTTCAACGATTTCCTCCCTCATCCCCGGAACTGTGTTTTTCCTATTTCCCCCCCACCACTCCCAACTAATTAAAGCTGTATAATCTCTTATTGGTTTTTAGGGTGTATTTATAGGCACAAGATTTTGTAGGCAGCGTACCCGATACATGCATGTAATTCACAATTACTCTGTGGGAGGTTTTCCATTCATGGAGCCTGTTCTGGAGAGAGCAAAACATTTCACCATCATTGTCATAATTTAACATCGGCACTGACATCAGCCACCAACCACTCCACCACCACCAAATCACCATCAGGCTGCTGAAGAAAAAAACACCGCCAAAATATAAAATGGAAAGGAGTTTTTCCATTAATATAATAAGAGAAAATGAGAGCCTGTATTATGTAGTGTGACATCTGGTCAGTTTTCCAACTCCGTGCTTGAAAAGCAGCATTAAATATTACAAGTTCTTCCCTCCCCTTGGGATTGAATTTGTCCAAATGCACAGCTGCTAAAATGTCTGTAGCTGAAACCATATAAATAATGAGAAGCCAACACTTCTGGGCTGCAGGTCTGTAAAACAGCTGAAGTAACAATTCACCTTGTGATTCTGCAGATTCAGTAGATTGATTGATTAATTAATTACTAAATTAACCAGTCACCCTCAGATATACAAAGGGATCTCCAAACCTCAGATATGGAAAATGTCCTCAGTTGGTCTTTTAATATCAGGTTTAATCAAGCATAATGAATGTATGAATGTATGAATGTACCAATATATGCACCCACCTGCATATATCCACTAATTAAACTTGCCCTGACAGGAAAGTATTAATATACTGAGAAAGGAGGAAAAATAAACAGGAGCAAACCAAAAGACAGGAAGTATCCTCTTAGTGTGGGGAGATGGATGAAAATAGAGGGAAGTCTTCTTTCTCATATGTGTGTTCTTAAAAAAAAAAAAGTTCTGATTTTGAATCACCTATTTCATAAGTACTTGTGATTCTAATCCTAACTCACAACTGATCATCCATATAAATCCAGCAATTTCAACAGTTACAGCAACTGAAACAAGAGCCACAGTTTCCTAGATAAGAATTAAAAAGCCTGAGTGGTTATTTTCACAGTGAGGCTTTGCCATTATAGAAGGGAGCAAACACAGACCCCATGCTACTGCTTTGAGAAGCAATTTCACCCCTATCCCCTTCTTGCAGTACAACAGAAACAACATTTTGTGTATTTGCATCACAAGCATGTGAGCAAGGATAAATTAATTAACATCCTCTGCTCCATGCTCAGGGCTGGGCTAGGGCCCTCGGAGATTTACTAATTAAGAAGTTTACTAATAAGAGACTTCCTGAGATGCTCCTGAACGATTACAGGTTTCCTTCCATGGCTGCAATTGTTATAAAATGCCCAACTCAGGAGCCAGCTGGAGCTTCTTTGTTCAACGCTGACCCCTGTAGGTTTGTCCCAAATTAATTATTTTTCAAACAAGAACAGCGCCAGGGGTTCATTGAACATTTCAACACAACTGTTAGCAAACTGTTCTGACAATTAAAGCCACACCATGTTAAAAACACTCGCTGTAACACAGGTTTCTGCTAGCCCAAGCTTCAGACAGCACATTAATAGAAATTTAAGAAACATCTATTGCCATGTTTTCTCCACATCCCTTCCTGGACAATGAGTTCAAGACAGTTCTCCACCATCCCCTTTTCAAGTTCAATGAACTGAGCTCCCAGGTTGCCTCTCTAAAGTGCATTTCTCCCCATTTTTTTTATGGTTTTCACAGCTCATCTCTAACTCCAGGTAACAGAGGTAGGGCCAGGTTTAAATATTTAATACTGCTGCTATTCCTAGAATGCAGCATCATCCATATCCCTTCCTCCCCTCACCAGCATCTCCTACCACTTCAGCAGTTTAAATAGCATAAGGCAGAGGTAGATACTATCAATAATCAGAAACAAAACACCTCAGAAGAGAAAATTATTTGGCAACATATCATCAATGTGATGAGCACTCAGTTGTAGGTGTTTTCTACTCACCTAAATGATGGTATGTCAAATCTTAAAGGAGGCTAAACATGTTTAGGCACCTAGTGCATGCATTATTGCATTAATACAATTTCCCAAAGTTGTGATCTCACTAAAGACTTGTAAGATTTATTATACACTGTGTTTTCCATAAACCCATCAAAATTCATTAAAAAACCCTCAAGCAGCATCATATAAATACTAATCAAACAAACAAAACAGTTGAAAAAACTTGTGAATAGTGCTACAAATTCCAGTGAACTGCAGAGATGCCAGTACCCATTGAATAATAGGGTGTTTCAGAAAGTCTTCACCAGGAAGGATGATCTTGGTCCCTTAAGATTGAAAATTGGCCTATGGAAGTTCCTTGCATTGCCTTAAACATTTATAGCATTATCTTAATTGCTTTTGAAAAGGAAGGAAATTGAATCCATACAAAATCTATTTCACACATTTTTATAATGCCAAGGAAGAACCAACTCCAGGAAAAAGCAGATCACTAAGAAAAAAATCACGTGTTTCTCCCTCTGAAAGGCCGATTTACCCCAGTACAAGACAGAGCATGTTACTCATTGTGGAGGACAATTAAGTCCCAGAAACATTCACTGCTCTGCTGGGAACAATTGACGCCATTATGTGATCAACAAATCTTTGTCTTATGCGCATTCCCCACCACCACCCTTTTTTTCCTGCAGTCATCCAATACAAGCACAAAGAGTGGAGAGAAAAAAAAAGGCAAAAAGTTCAGGTGGTGAAATTTTCCTCCAGTTCCTGCTTTTTCCTCATGCATTGGTATATAGAACATAACCTAAATTCACAAGACACGATCTCAATCACAAGACATCAACTACAATACAAGGACTCTGAAATTCTAGAATATTAATTGGCTCTCTCATATGCCTTTTCATTTTTTCTACTATCCAAGATAAGCATTTATAAGATTTTCTCCAGAAACATGAAGGGTAGAGACTTCAAGATGAAAAACAAAGCTGAGACATTCACAGGAATACCCAATTCCCACATTTAACATTCAAATAAAAGATAAAACTCTCCAAATACTCTACCATTCCAAAATATCATCAAGGAAGTTGACAATACAGATAATATAGGGATTGGAATTGTAGAATATACTGAGCTGGAAGGGACCAAGGATCATGGAATCAGCCTGATGTCACCCTAATTCCTTCTGTGCCCAACCCATGAGACAGGTACTCACCCCTCATAGGCTGGAGGTAATGGAGAGCATGTGTGTGTTTCTCCACTGGACTGTTCCTAAAACTATGGAACTTTATAGAAATTTTATGGAACTATATAGAAATTTTAATTAAAAATACCCTCTAAGTTTGACTTGTTAAAAAAAAAAAAAATGCACCAAGTAGTCCAATCTTTCCATTTGGCATGGGACAAGAACTGTACAAAACTGCATCCTAGCCAAAAATTTAGTTTTTTAACATCTCAAAGCTGAGAGATACCTTGAGCTCACTATTTTATGAGCCCATTGCCAAGGATTTTATATTCAGAAGCACAATAAAAAGACAAGATCTTGTTTGTGTGTTTGAATAATGAAATCATGGCCATAAATTGTTCAGAAAACACAAAAGAGTTAAAAATTAGGCTTCCTTTCTTTGTCAAACAAAAGTAATCAGAACATATTCCTTTCTCCTTCTCTTACTTAGCAGAAAAATGCATGGTATTCAAAGGAGCAGCACCTGAGGGTATTTGCAAGCATGAATATAGCTGTATATTTTATTGGTTTTTTTATTTCGGTTCATATCCTTCTGGTTCAAACCCAAACAGTTCTAGAAGTCATCAGCCCCCAAGGCATCTATGCACCTGAGCTACCGAACCCAGCAGTCTGCCAGGCTTTCTGGAAGGACAGATTCACACATGGACATGGAGAGATCTCAGGAAGGTTAAGGCAGATTTTACAGAATGGCAAAAGTCATGTTTAATTTGAAGCTGTTGGGATGAGAGCAGTACCTTTCCTGCTCTTTCCCATCCTACCTTCCAACACTGGGCATGAAAATCATCTTGCCTCAAATTTCCTTCAGAAAATGAATGCCAAGGGTGTCCAGAAATTAAGTCACCACCAGCCATTTTACTTCAATACAGACTGTTTAATTAACATGCTGTGACATCCATGCATCCATGTATTACTCTCATTTTTTCCTCTCCTTGTTCGCCTGATTAGGAATCACATCCCAGGTCATGTCATCACTCTCAGATGACAGATGGCAGAGATGCACAGTAGGCACTGCTAGAGCAGGTGCCACACTTGTTGCATAAAGAAAATTTTATAGGCATTACAGTGATAGCAGAACTGCCAGAACTGCTTCCAGGGAGCATTTTTCCTCACTCACAAATAACGAGCAGTCACTTGTTTAATTACAACTGCAAGTCATAAACTAAAACAAGTTTCACCTCTGCATGAGGGTGAATTTCTTTACCTTGGGGGTGGCAAAGCAGTGGAACAGCTGCCCATGGAGGGTGTGGAGTCTTCCTATCTGGAGGTATTCCAAATCCACCTGGATGCATTCCTGTGTCACCTGCTCCAGGTGACCCTGCCAGAGAACAGAGGTTGGACTGGGTGATCTCCTGAGGTCCCTTCCAGCCCTAAATGTCCTGTAATTCTGTAAATAAACTACTTATTTAATATATAGAGCCATCAATTACTCTGTACAGGATGGTGGCAAAAATTGAACTCTGTAAATAAAAAACATTGAAAATGCTTTATAGCCATTATAAGACACTGTAGTATAGGCATTTCTTTGGGAAAACAGAAAGAAAAGGAAAGAACAATACCTTTTAATTCTCGAAATCAGGACTACAGTCACATTTTGTATATTGCAAGACAACATGGAGCTTAGTTTACATAAACACACACTGATTTTCCTCCAGACTCAAAAACATGGAGCCAATTACATAAATCTCCAACTGAAAACACCCTCCACACTACATTTTATTTATAAAGAGGAAAGAAAAGAAGTTTTATTTATTATTTTATTATTAAAGGGTTTTATTTATAAAGAGGAAAGAAAAATACCTCCCATTTTAGACCTCTAGGAGCACCTACAAGACCCACAGCTCAGTGTCCCACTATGTTAAGTGGTACAAAAACTTAGGACAAAAAACTGTCCAAACCAAAGCATCAGTAGGAAGACCACAGAAAGAAGGCTTGAGAGAGGAAACCATGCTAAAATACACAGATCACTGAGCAGACCTCAGCATGACTTGGGAATCTACCGGCTTTACAAGTAAATTAAGCTTTAAATATTTTAATACTACTTTCAGCTATTTTCAGATTAGCAATCTAAAACGTATAACTTGAGTTACAGCAAAAAGGGCTGTTCAGAGAAGGCAGAGCAAAGAAAGCATTCCTCAAGGAAAAGCTGAAAAGCACTGGAGCCTGAATTTCCAGTAACTAGAACCAGCAGGACTTAGACTAGCATTGGGCACTACAAAATTACCAAACCACAGATTTAATCCTTCCACAGACTTAAGAACATCCAGCTGCCATATTAGTTAGGCACCAGAAAATATCTCGTATGACATTTTATTATGTCCAAAGCTCTGTGTGCCACTAAACTATGGAAGGGCTCTGCCTTGTAGGTAGTTCCAAGGCACTGAACTCAAATTCATCCCGAGCTCCTCCCTGTGGGACCAGGCTCTTTCAAATCTCTTGGCTCCTGGCTGACAGCTGGGAATTAACAGCACTGGAAAGTAAAATTCAAAATTTCCTGAGGATATGTGCTTAAAGCCTGTTTTTCAGCCCGGTTTAAACATTATTTATGTTCATACTTTAATATATATGTAATTCTTCAGCTACTTTTGACCAAATCATATGGGTTTATGTGCTCCCTCAGCAGTCTTGGAGGAAGAGGGAATCTTGTTCCCAAAAAAGAAAACTGAAGCACCCACTCAGCAGTTGCTAGCATTGCCTCACTACAAACCAGTCCATGTTTGGGTTTTTTTCCCCTGACTGTAGTTTGTAAACAAAGGAGGGATATTTAACTCTGCTACTGTTCCCAAAATTATTTATATATAAACAGACGTATTTTTTTAAATGTTCCATCTGGAAAATCTGACATGGGATTTGCAAAGTTCCTGTCCTGCCCCCTGATCAAAGGGGAAGAAGCACAGAAGCACAAAGTTTGGGAATTCCCATTAGACCTGTAAAACACCACAATCTGGTGATAACTGAGCTGGGGGAGCAGGGGGAAGATAATTTTGCATTTCCAGAAAGCTTTCATTCCAGTTTGGGAGGCCTCCTGAGATCTCTAGGAGCGTAATCAAGTAGTGTGCTGAAAAACAGGGGAACTGGACAAGGGGACAGATGAATATTTGAACCAAAGGTGCCACAGGCACATTGTATCTTCTGAAGATCTAGAATTTTCAAATGATAATGCTAGAAAGCCTCTGACCAACTCAGGAACCACAGCTCCTGTCAAACAGTACCATAGGGTCCCTTCTCATCAATTAATGTGCTTAACACATAATGCACCAGGAGAACAAGAAGGCCATTTGTAGGACTCATGGTGGGGACAAAGGAAGGCTTGTGAACTTCCCCAGAAATGCCACTCAACCACACAGGAAGATAAATCTGATACGGGTGTTCTGGACAGAATAATGCTTACAGCTGTTCTCAGTCTGGTTTTATCTGGTCACTGCTGAATTGTACCAGAGCTCAGCAGCACCAAAAAAATGCAATTACTTACAACATTTATCCTGAGAAAGAATAAAATGTGTGACAGCAGGGTGATCTGCTCTGACCATCACCTCATCAGGGCAAAAAGGCAAAACAGGACTAGGATTGCATGATTGCAGGGACTGCCAAGGACATGGCCAGTATTGGTTCACTAATGTCTGTGCTCCTCCTGCCTACAAGGAATTTTTGTTTCATGTTTTTCATACATTACAAATGATTTGGAGCTGGCACATTGGGGCTGTTTTCAGTTTGTGCAGCTCTTAAAGTGGGGACTGGGTCCACAGCTCTGCATTATCATTAGCACCATGCTACATGGGGAATAAAAAAAGCCCTAAAACAAAAAAAACAAAGGCAAAATTGAGCTCTGCCACACACACTGAACCTGTCAAATTTAATCTCATGGAGAGGAGGGAAGGTAAAGCCTTTGCAAGGGATGAAAGAAACATTCATACCTAAGCTAGAGTTTATAGCCACCAAGGAACTAATCACACAAGTGACATAAGTCCTAGTCTAGACAAAGCTTTGTACACTGAAAGCAGTAAAAATACAGTGCCATGGCATGAAATACAGCTTCATACCCTCCAATAACAAATGCTGGGACTATTTCAGAGAAGATTTCAAGCACCAGAGGCTCATGCTGGTTTCCCCCCTCCTTGTCAACACACCCCTCAGATAAGAATCTAAGGCCACCTCAATTATTTACAAAGGTCACTTAGCATATTTGTGTCCCAACATTTTGGGACACTGCATTTGTTAGCTATTGCAGTGAAAACATGATGGTCCTCAATCATATTTTCTAGAAGTCCTTTACAGCCTCATCACCAGACCAATGCCCCTGATTCTTGTTCTCTCTGACCATTTTAACCAATTAACACATCCTAGGATGGCCCATGTGGGAAATAGCAGAAACTGTTGCACTAAGCGAGAAGGAGCATAGCAGATCAAGAAACAGGAAAAGAACAAGCACAAAGCCAAAGCGCTGTGTGTCCCATACAGTCACTGCCAGGAAGCCAGAGACTCCCAAATAGTCAGCCAGAGTTCAAGAAGTATCCTGAAAACCGCCCTTCAAAAAAAGCACACATCTGTACAAAACAGCAATTTTCAAAAATTCTTGTTCATGGAAAGGTAAGGATGGGCTGCAATAAGTTTTTCCCAATGTTAAAGAAATCTCCAAACCCAGGGCCTAACAAGGTACTGTAAATGCCATCCACTGAGAAGCAAGAAATGTGGAGTTAGAGACTGCTTTGTGGGGTGATAGATACTTTAAACCCATCCTGCTCAATGGGAAGCAGGAATAAATCTAAACTTCTCTTGCTGGTGTTAGAGAGGGTGCCCAGCAGTCATTTCTGGCCTTAATAAACCATTTCTACCAGAGTAAGTGCAGAAGACAGAGCAGGAGGAACCCAGCCCCAGCACCCTAAACTTTCCAGCCCAGCTGTGTTCACTGGCAGAGAGAGGAGGGACAAGTTCTGAGCGCCTTCCCCTGCCCTGTGACAGGACTTTTCTCCCTGGCTCCTCATTTTTCCTACTCTTCAGCAAGTGTGTTGTTACCCTTCTGAAGATCCTGCTGCCACAGAACCAGTCTTGCTGTGGGAATTATCTTGGCACATCTTCAGACACAAGGAAAACTCCCTTTCTGACAGGCACAAGCCCCTGCAGTATTATGAGACCAATTCCAGCAAGGGGCAGATTAAATCTGAGGTTTATTGATACCGATTTTGAGCAGAGGCTTTGCTCACTAGACAGCACTAACTTTGCCAGCCCAGGACATGCCAGGGTGAGGTTGCTCTTAAGCACAACTATATTTGCTATAATCCCAGATCATATGCTGGTGTATTAAGATAAAAACATCTTTGAACTTTTAAATTTATTTTCCTGGATTTCTTTTAGGTACTGATTTAACACCGATACTAGGATCAGTGTAATAAGAGAAGGGAAGTTACATTAGTCTAAGCATGCAAATACAATTCTAGCTGGTTTGGAGAAATATTTTCTCTGCACTTTTAACTGTGAAGTTTCAAAATGGCAAGAAGACACCTGGATTTCCATCCAGTGGAAAAGTACCTACTGGGCTGCTGCTAGCTGTGCTGAGGAGCCCTTGAAATGAAAACAAACCAACCACAAATCATACTAATGGGAAAGCTGTCACTTCTGGATTCAAGCCTTGGAATGAGATATAATAGGTGAAAAGAAATATTTGCTTTAGTCCCAGACACAGAAAGTAAATCATCTGCAGAGAGAATGAGATTCCTCTCCTCCCCTTCATCCCAAACTAGAAATCTGATGTATTGACGTGAATAAAAGAGAAAAGAAAGGACAAACCCACAACACAACAAACCGTACAGCTGTATATTACTTGCAGACTATACCTATCTATTATAGCTGTTAAATACATGAGACAAATATAAAAAAAAATCAGACACCTCAGTTCAGCTGCAAATTTTCCACAGATTCCGTAGATTTCAGCTGCAAACTCCCCACAGAATGGGGTGAGGGTGTTCCATATAGAAGGTATTTTTGTGAAATGAACATCTGAGGATTTAAATATTCTTAGTTTTCTGATTTAGTATCTCAAGCTGGACACCTAAGAAATAGAAAGTCTCCCACCCTGGGCTTGAAGCTCCTCAGAAAGCACAATTCCCCCTCTCCATTCCCCACCAATTCCTGACCCAGGTCACAGCAGCCAAGGAAAGGCAAAGAGCTGCCCCCACTTAGGTGCATGGCCCCTGACGTTGAAAGGACCAGAACATATTAAATGACAAAAAAACTATTAATAATATCCATCACAAATATCATATCATATCATTGCAGTGGGGTTTTTAGCTTTGTTTTTAGATCATCTAATCCCA